TAGTAGTAGTAGATGATTCGGGGGTTGCGGGGAGTGCGGCCTCCGTCCAGAAATCGATGCAGGATTTTTCGTATCAACAGTAGTAGTAGTAGTAGTAGTAGTAGTAGTAGTAGTAGTAGTATTAGTCGTAATAATGACAACACTAACAATAGTAATCACGATGATTTTAATCCTACTAGCAAGAGTAATATTCGGAAGTGGAATACAACAGCACCAGCAGCCGCTGCAACAGCAAACTAGTCATGCTGACAATGGCAACTTCGTACTCATGATTGCCATCATTTCTACCTGTAGTATTGTCACGACACCCCTGGGCCTGGTGCACCGAAGGATATCGGCTCTTCGAAAGCCACTTCCTGGCTCTTGCAATCACATCCCACACGGCTGCGATTGCCACAAGAACAAAACCGCCTGAGCTAAGCCCATGAGCCTGATGCACTAACACGCAGTGCTTTCACGTGGCATCAGCACGACTTCCAACTCCCCCCATTTGACTCCCAAGAATAACCATCACACCTGGTCAGACTACGAGTACGTAGTGACAGTGACGGAAGGAAAATGCTGCTACCACAAACCGTATTCCTAACCATAAACCCCTGCGACGTTTCCTTGGAACTGTCTTAACATAACACATTTCCGTTTCTGCGCTTTCCAGCGAGTAGCCAACCGTCGGATGAAGTATAGCACGTTTGGTGGTTTCAGCAGACGGCGATATCACAGCTTCGAGAAACCCGTTGCGGCTCCACGGCCACGAAATCAAAAAAGTGCATGGAACAGACAAAGCTCTACATCCCTAAAAACCGGACAAGCTTTTTTTCTGAACGCTGGCGGTCCCCCGTCTTGGTCTCTTCTCTGGTTGCAAATACTGTTAATTACAGCATTTGCTCCTGCTTTGCATCAAGCAAGTGGGAAAATACAATTTGCCCGATCCTGTGTTGCCCCAAGCGATTGTGGAATTACAATTGGCAGGGTCTTGCTTTGCATCAAGCTGTTTACAATTTGCAGGCTCCTATCTTGCGTCAATGTACTGGGAACAGCTTGATCTCACCACCAATGCCTCTCACTCCGACGTCCATTCTCTTTCACTCTTTCGCTGGTCTGGTGCCGAAACACCGGTTCCATGTGAAACTCCACTATGCAGTCTAGAAACTCAGAACCTACAGAAATCAATCTTTCCCCGCAGCTCACAACACACAGATCAATCCTGTGTGCAACGTCAAGCCGATCAGTCCAGTCTTGAGTCAATGCCGTTCGACACCAGAGCATTCGTCAATGCGTGTTGTTCCTAGGAGGGCCACATGTCATTTTACAAGGGACCAAGGGATCAGGCGGCCTGGGCCAGCCCTACCAAGGACCCCAGGCCAGAGCCAAGCTTAGGAAAAAAACCCGAGACCCCTAAGGACATCTCGCTAACCCACCATGCAGCACAGAAGGCAAAGACTGATCAAACACTGGCAGAGAGAGTCTTTTGCGCGGACTCTTGGAATGGCTTCGCTGTTGGTGGGCGGCATCTGACTGAACCTGTCCTGTGCAGTTTAAACAGCACAACATTCAGTCGGCACCCCACCATCTTCTATATAGGGCGGTGTGGGCGTGTGCGAAAGAGGACGGAAAGCTTCATAATTCTGAGTGAAGCCAGGCCAGGTGCTGCGGTGTTGACGTTCGTCCATGTCATTCAGTGCACAAGTGCGCACCACAACCTTAGGCACGCCAAGCAAGCCGGCCTCAAGACTGATGGCACCCTCGACCATCTCCGAACTCATCGTATCTGGCAACAGTCGAGGGCTTTTGGTTGAGGCCGAAAGGGCTTACGGTGTAAGTATCGAAGTTAGGACCGGCGGGTTTGAGGTTGAGGGTAGGAACTAAGGTCTGAAACTTGAGAGCTTGGGAAACTATAAGATATGCAAAGCTGGTAGAGTAGGCCGTAATTAAGCCGTTTTTCTCTGGTACGACACTGTCGCAGGTCCTAAAGATCCGGCGTGAACACATGCTCACTGATGACTAGTATACCCAGCACATTCATGCACTTTCCATAACTTCCTCAAGCTTGCGCCTGACACATCGATGACGAGATGCCCTTCCTGGGCACATGACTGCCGAAGGGCTTAAGGCTTTTACGACTTTGGGTTTTCGGGTTGAGGTTCACCGGTTGGCGTATACAGACGTGCGATACACGACGACACGGCCCGGTAAAACGGAAGTCGATGCTCCATGCATGACAGCTAGAGCACACTGCGCCGGACCCAAAAGAAAGGGCTGCCATCATCATCAACAACAACATCATATCCTCCTGCTGATCTCCTTTTCATCGTCTTCCCCAGCAGCAGCAGCAGCAGCAGCTCCGGGACCAGCACCAGCACCAGCACCACCATCGTTGTCTTCAGTACAATCGCCATCAGCAATAACATCCTCGCCTCTCATCAAGACTGCAGGTAGGTATAGTGCGCCAGATAACTTTGATGCAAATCTGTTCGTTTTTCGTGGCGAAGCTCTTAAGCCCTCCCGCTGCATTACGTAATTCCGAAAGATCGCGAGAGGCGAAGTTTCGACATCCGTTGGAGTGACAGGAATGCGGCGATTGACGGTAAGAGGCAGAGGCACATGTTCTTCCACGCTATATTGAATAATACTGAGTTGGCAACACTTTCTATGTGTGCCATTCACATCAATTACTCATCGGCTAAAACGAATTCAACTGCTGACGCAGCTGCGCGCGAAATCTCGTCGATCGGCTTTTTCACCTTCTTCTTTACCTGCAGCAAGCGTGAAGAAGCTCTGTGTTCAGTGCAGGGGAGACACAATCTCCTTTCGCTTGCCTTAGCTTTGCACTTGACCTTCGTCTTCTTGTGCAACACGTCCTCAGACTGACTTCTTCGTCACGACATACAAGGCACGGGGCCGACAACTCCCCAAAACGAAACCTTTATACTGCAGATGAGCGTCAGCAGAGCTCAGCGACTTGCTGCTTTCATTCACAACCGCGGGGCCTCCAGGCAACGTCCGAGCAGAAGTTGCTCTCTGCCCCAGCCTCAGCCTTTCGTGCGGAAGATTCCAGAACCACGCCGAGGCCTTGTTGCCGCTCCTCAGGAAGGGAAGCGGTGACTCGCGGTGTTGATTGCGGCACCGCGGCCGCCGGGTCCACCTGCAACCGCACAGCCTATTCGAGCTACCGCAGTCCTTTTGGAAGTCATGCCTCCACGTCAAGGGCACTCGTCTGAACCGTCTCCCTTCCTGTCGAATCTGAGATCGCCGTGTTATTGTGGCCTGACACGCGCATCTTGCAGCTCTGGCAGTTAGCGAAGCATGAAGTGGTGGTTGCTGCTGTGGACACATGGCCTTCGACAACTACGTCGACGGTCTCCTCCTTAGCGCACACTGCGGGTAACTCAGTCCACACCACACGCCACACCTTAAGTTGAAGATGTTCTTATTCTTAAACTCTCCTGCCGCTCAACAACTCTGTACCCCTGAATCCCCTATTGCTTTAACCACCAAATCTGCACCCGGAAATCCCTCGACCTGGACCCGTCCAAACTCTCCTGTCCGGTGCTCAACCGAGGCCAAGGCCTCTCCATCGTTCTCGGCAGGCTTGGTCTTGGCTTTCCGCTTGATCTGCACTGCATGGCCATTACAAGGGGGTTTCGCAAGAACAGGGATACCTACATCTAGAGGTCCCAGTAAGAATCTTGCCATTTACACTCTATACCAGGGTCTTCATATGAAGACACTCCACTCCAATAATGACAGGATACATGTTCATCTTTATGTACGGCCGGCGGGGGCGCTTATCAGTGTGGGGTCTGCGTAGCAAAAATCTCATTGCATGCCTTTTCCCTAAGTCTCAGAATCTTTATGCCCCAAGCCCTGAATCCTCCTACCCATACTCCAAACGATAGCTTTCAGTGGGCTATAGGAGTTTAAGAAATCGTGGGTCTGGAACGACGCCTAATTTTAGATGACCCGTCTCGGCCTTGCCCTTGGATCCGGTGTCACTTCTTTTTCAGATCGCACGTGAATGTGGCGTGCGAGGGCTGAGGCTGCTGAGGGTTGGAGATTGGGGTTATAGGATTTCAGGCTTACATCTTCAACTGCTCCTGTTACGTGCATCCGAATGGGAAGCCCTGAGAAACCGAAGGCCTGTAGAGAGGCCAAATGCGACACCAAGAATCGAACCCAGCCAAGACCCAAACATCGAAGGCAACACACAAACCTGCTTCGCAGCTGCCAGACACGACAGGACTGTGCCGGCGAAATTCTGGCTTCTGAACTTCAGGTGAGAGCCGGGCAGCTACGGCTCGGAAATGCGACCTTTTGTGGCGATAAGTCCGGTCTTCACCGGCAACAGCTTTGCGGGAGGTGTGCCCGGCAGGCATCAAGACCCGTAGCCAGAGCCACAGCAGCCGTGTCATCCAATGTGAATCTTGACGATTAAAAGATTGGGCTTGGCTGAAGTAGCGATGCTCGGACTCGCGGCCACATGGGCCACATGCTTAGGCATCTCATGGCATCCTTGCATCATGCCGTGGTAAATTCTTTTTTGGAGCCATTGAGGGCTTTGGAATCCACCAAAGAGGTATCTCTTTGTGTGAAGATTTCGGGTCACTCCGTCTGCCCTCCCTTAGCCGCACACCCTTTCGGTCTTCATTGTTCAATTGTCAAAAAAATACTGGGCTTCATGACGAAGTGGTTTTGGGTTAGGGTTATGCATCCTTGGTAAGCCACGCGCCTTCGTAATGTCAGCGAAGCCAGCTGCAGCACTCTCCTCCGTGCGCGGTCCTGCGGCAAGCAGCAGACAGCACACCATCAGATATGAAACCTGAACGAATGTGCTGTCTTACGGATGACAAGTCTCTGCTGTTCATCATAGTCACTCAGGCCGTGATAGGCCGTGTGATGCAGGGCTACAGGATTTCGGGTTGTTCCACTACGCTGGACTGTTTTTGTTGTAACCACCGCACTGCAATGTACACGCACCTATAACACCTTCAAGCCACGAAAAGCTTCTTCCTTCCAAACACTGTCCCATAGCCACTTTACTCGAAGACACGAGAAGAATACACCGAAGAATACACGGGGCCGAACATGGGCGGCCGTACTCCAGTAAACCCTCAAACCACACCAACAGCTTATCAAAGCAAGCTCGAACCTTAAGTCAACCTCTGCGAACATGAAAACACAGCCCTGGCCTGTACACATCACGCCAAGAGTTTTGTAAACCTTCACGAAGAGCTCGCGTAACCAGGCACAGATAACATGCGCAGCCCACCAAAGGTTACACATTACCCACTGCACCACGAAAGTAACTAAGTCGCTGATGCAGGGGTATCCACATCCTGACTACCTGCCAGGACCTATCTCGCCAGAACACCTAAACTTAAACCCTAACCCCAATACCCTGAACTGCAAAACAAGTGTAAGGCAAGGTTTTCGGGTTCAGGGCATTCGGGCTACGAGGGTTTCCGGAATGAATAGTGTCTAGGCGATTGCAAACTGAAGATTCCGTATTTGCGCGAAGTACCGCTTCCCGAAACAGCCATAAGGTTGGGTCGATGTATGTTTAAGATACCTTGCCAGCAAGTGCGTTCCCAGAGGCTCCTCTTTCAAAAAGACCTTTGTGAACGACCCCGTAAACCTTAAAACTCCAAATCCCAAAATTGAACCATAGACTGTTTGGCTTTTCTGCACCGCCTTACTTGTAAAGCAAGGTCTGCCGTCAGCGACTCCCAGCCTTGTAAAGCTGTGACGATGGGTTCCTGGTGTTCGCGTCTTAGAGTTTCGTGGGGTTTGACGGCTCCAAGGCTAAGAGCTTGGGGTTTCAGGGTTTAGGGCTTTAGGGCGTTGCGTTTGTTGTCTAAGGGTGCAGTTTCAGGAGCTTAGTTGGTAGTTGGGCGTAACCGGAATTCACCAAGCACCCGTTTAAGTAGAAGTGCAGACCCCAGCCTTAATACTGGCCGGCATAAATGCTTGTCGTTGCTCTTGTTCCTGTTCCTGTTCTTGTTGTTGTTGTTGTTGCCGTTGCTGCCCTTGCCGTTGCTGCTGCTTCTTCTTGTTGTTGGTGGTGGCAGCTGTGGCGTCTGCCGCCGCGGAGGGTGGAACGATTTCAGAGCTGCGGCGTGTTAAAAAATCCAGTTTTGGCACATGGCCGTTTGGACAAAAAATCAGCGCTTCGCATTGTGTATCGGCTTTTACGGTGTTTTCGTGAAAAACATGTTCGATGTCAGGGCTGCGCTGTGCCTAAACTCAACTTTTCGCACCTGGCAGGTTGAACTTCTATGGGTATTTACAGTCATCCGTGGCTTCTCCGTTTCCGTCTTTTGCTTGCAAGTCGGTTGCTTTCTTCTTTGGATCTGTGTTTGTTTTTGTTTCCGTGCAAGGGTGGTGAGGCGGGTGATGACGTCCATGCCAATGCGGCTTA